AATGTATTATTTTGCAAATGACGTATGCCATGACTTTTATTCATTTACTTTAGGTGTGATTCTTAATGTCGCCATTTTTCTTTAAATTATTCCACAGTACGATTTCTAGTAAGAAATTTATTGTTTAACATAGTTATTTTATACTGAAATAAATTAATAAAATATTTCAAAATACATATAATTTTGAATAATTGATTTTTGTATAGAATAATTTGGAATGCTCTAAAATCTTGCAGGCATAGTTAAAATGAAACATTCTAATAAAGCTTCACGAATTTGAATATTTAGTTATTCCAATATTTCTCAGTGAAGTAAAGGATATAAATTATAATGAATAACTTGAAGGCTATTTTTATTGAAAAGAATATTTTCCTGGGAGACATTCTAAGGGAGATAGACTGTATTCTGTGCTATATACTCGCAGAATTACAATAATATCGACGCAATTAGGTCGTTTCATTAAGGATAGAACTAAGGCAAATTTTCAGTGCTTTTACCTGTGCAGAAAATCTTATGACAGGGTCAGGTTTTTCGCCTTATTTTACATATACAAATACTAAATTTTAAAGAGGTATGTATTGTATTTTATCTAGGTATATATATTTATGTATGTATCCTATAAAATCATACAAATATTGACACTGATGTTGAAAACGAAGATAAGTTTCATCACCTGATGGTTATCTTCATAACCGTCGTATATATTTTAGTTAAATTTGGTATGGACAACATACAATCATACAATAATCTTGATACAGACGCATGGTTATGCTTAAGGCTCATCAGGGCTGGTAGGTCTAAAATAGGAATTGCAGGATCAAATAAGAAAGACTCCAGTGGGTATGGTTCCCCCTGACAGTCAAACAGTTCTTACAATGTGATTTCATACTGGAGTTGAGGCAGTCTTTGTAGCAGTTAGTGCCCCTGTTGCAACAATGCTGTATTATGTCCCGGAGGTTTTCGAGATGCAGTTGGTCTCCCAAGTGTGTACCAGACATAGGGCTTAGGTACGGAGCTCTAGCTAGCCAATACATCATCTTCACTTTCCAGAACAGCATTCACTAGATTAGTAAATTAGTCGTCATCCATTAAAATGTGCTGCAAACCTAAAAAAGGCAAACATAGGCCTTTAAGATTACTTCTATACCTTCCAGCAGTCACACAGCCACTGTCAAAGACATGAAGCTCTGTGCATGATATATTCTCAGACATCAAACTGCGTTACCATACGGCTCCCTTTCTCGGATGTTGGTGGATGTAGAGGTTCTTCTAGACGAAGGTACGCTGAGAGTCAGTGATAAGCTGAATTGATGAGATAAGCTGAGCTGGAATTCATCTGTGAAGAGAATGATCCACTGCTAATGCTTGATACAGAAATGATGTTTTCTGCACATGCTAAATGAGCTGTCTGAAGTACAGAAGTACTAAGGACGGAAACAGCAAGTTTTACAAATAGACCTCTTTTATGTAGTCTTCTGGAAACAATAATCTTTGAAACTCGGGTTCTTGTAGTCGTTTAGGAAGGTCACGAGAACATTACAGTTGTTGCACTCTCGTTACGTTTCGGTGAAATAGACAAATTTCGATCTTCTTTCACTGTCGAGGCAGTCGACAGTTATTTTCGTCGACCTTATCCACGTTTTCTATCTACAGATCCTATATGCTTAAACCTTTTCCATAAGTTGCACGCGACACTCGGCGTTATCCTGAAATATCTAGCTATTTGCGTATGAGACTGCCCTGCTTCCAATCTTTCAACGATTTTGCATCTCGTTTCATTATCCTGTTAGCTGGTGGTTACTGATTTAACTATGCGTTTTCGTTTTTTTTTAACTGTCTGCCTTTGAATTCTACAAAATGTTGCAAAGAAAACACTGCAAATGTGGCCAAGGAGTGAGAGCGAATGAAGCGCGAAAAATGCCCCGCGCGCTTTTAATGACGGTTACTCTGAATCCTCCGCTCACCTGCACTTGTATGCTTGCGTATCCGATTCTTAAGATTTGTATTTCTCTTAATTTTAAACATCAGTCTATAAGCTTTTATTTTACGCATACTGTTTACTTAAAATATGCAATTTTAGGCATTTAAATAGAGTTATCAGTACCAGAGTTGTTGAATGTAGAACTTGTCAATCTATAAGGTATTTCTCTCGCCTTCCTAGCGTGCCTTTGTGGTGCAGTGGTTCTGCACGCTGGGCCGGTATTCCAGAGCTCCGTGGTTTGATTCCCGGAGAAAGCGTTTGCTCATTTTTCATCGTGCCTGCTTCCAAAAATACCTAATGACCCTACGAACCTGATCACAAATTGCTGTCTTGATTCAATATGTCTTTTGTTTTTGAGAGGCAGTAGTCACCGAGAGATCGTAAAAGTGTAGTAAAAGTTTAGAAAGCTTTGGTTTATTTCCAAGGAAGACTTTGATTGCTTTTGACTTCTAAGTTTCTTACTTAAATGACATTTGATTTGAGAGACAGCTAAGATTTTGTTTCTGTTTTGGAAGGTTTTACTGAGGATTATTTGCAATATGTAGGAGGATAATAGAACTACCTGAAACTAATGCTTATTTTGATTAACAGTGTGTTACTAAGAGGGGATGCAAATAACGTTTTTGTTGACGTTAAGATTATTCATTTAAAATATTATTCTTGCACATGAGGAAGTGCTAGTGCTGCATAGTTATTTACCTCTGTCTATTAATATTGATTTCTATTAATAGTGATTGTTCTTTTATTTATTCTGTTTATATGCATTTACCTTTTACTTTCTAGAGATCTGAAATGTTGCAGAAGAATATTCCACTGATTTAGTGTTCAAACATTAGTCTCTCTTTTTTCCACCTCTTGACTTCGCTGTTAAATATTTTTGTACATACTTGTTAATTTGATTACTTGCTTGCATTTGTTCGTTTCTAAATCAATATTCTTAACTGTCTCACTCAGCATTCTTATTTGTGATTCATGTGTAGTTTACATATTTTACTCTCTGTTTTTTTTCTTGTAGACACTGTTTACTTGCGCTCAAGTTTTTATTTTTTATTTCGTATTTGCTAAACTGTAACTATTTATTATAAGTTTAATATGAAATAAAAAAGGTTTGCATTAGTGATTTAAAATAAAACACGCTACTACTATATCATCCACTCTGTTCACCAACGACATTCAAAGGAAAGCAACTAGTAATTAAATGATTATATAAAACTTATACATATTTTTGCTGTTTCATGGACATTAGTAAAGAAATCTTGAAATCAATGTAAAAACTAAAATTTATCACATGAAAAACGCACTGAAAAATAAATAAGTAAAAAACTATTCGGAAACAATTTTATAAGCACTTACTTCTTTTTCATAGACATCTTACAGTGATACTTACGTATTAACGCAACCACTTTGGCGCATTTCGGCGATTTTTTACAGATGAAAAATAAAAGTCACTTATTAAGTGCAAGTTGGTTGTTTTTACGACATTTTTCGAAAAGATTCCTGAAGTATCGATAATTATTGTAAGTCGGCAAACATTATCAACATATGAAAGTGAACATACTCGTATTTTAGCAATTTAAAATGAAATTTTTAATTTTTAAATAAGAATTACATAATATATTAAAAACTACAATATTTACATTCGTCTCCAAACAAATTCTGTTTTCTTTCAAATAAAAGTCAGAGAATTGCAGAAACATGACATCGCTCAAACATGTTCCTGAAGAAATTTTACCGTAGTTTCCTCCATCACTGGCAAATTTCATAAATGCATATTTTAAAATTAAGGTATAAAGTGTCACAATTTCTTATAAAAGCCTTGGAATGCAACAAAAGAACGCAGGCGAAAATGCTGACGTTGCTTGACTGAAGAATTGTCATGAATACGGTTGCCTGAAGAGCCTTTAGATTTAGAGAACAGGCTGAATTCTTCCATATGTAATGTGGTTTTCCATATGTAACGTATATACAAACCAATTACCCTTAGAAAGTCCTTCACGAAGGCGTCCCTCCCCTTAGGCAGATAGCCCTCGAGGTTTTGCCGTAATCATATAAACCAAACCCTTACAGCTACCAATATTATTAAATCCATTTCTAAATAAAAATTCAGCAAAAACTAAAATCTGTTATAAACCGAAATTTAAAATCGCTATCAAATTAAGCTGTACATAATCTTAAATTTTGTGAGTAACTGGTTGTCTAACTTAGCTAGGCGTATCAAGATGAGTTTCAATTCATCTTCGCTTCCATTCGAAAAATAGGGGTGAGAGTAGTCTTGAATAATTAAACACTTTTATTGCTTTTAGTTTCTCAGTTTTCCAGCTTAAACACATGTGGCGCTCTGGCAGCAAAGCGAATTTTACTTTAGTGCTCAGTTGTTGTACTATTCTGAAGTAATCGCAAAATTTTTTCCGTCAGTAGCGCTGTCACCTTTATGAGTGAAACAAATTCTTAATTTCTAAACAACACAATTGAAAATACCAGGATACAAAAAGGGCTGTATACTCTGATAATTTTAAACTGAAAGTTGTCCCTTATCTTGAACATTTTTAATGGATGGAAAAGGATATTATCTGCTAAGCGAAAGAAAGCGATATTAATCGTGAAATAGAAGACGATTTCATTTCTAGCAGAAAATAAATTTCGAGATGGCTAGAAAATTCAGAGTCAAATTTTGATGTTAAGAATTTTGATTAATGTGTACTAGGATTAAATAAAATAAAAATTACAATATTTCAATTATTTAAGCTGTAATATCATTCTGAAATCGAATTGTATCGAAATGATTTTATACTCGCATATAAGCGGATTCCCTAACTTCATTTGTAAACCAATTGCTAAAATTTTTCAGCTTATTCACTGTAATTGATTTAATGCATTTAAGTACTTAATAAAGTTTCGCATGACTAATTTTACTTAAATTAACAAGTAAAAAATGTTTTAATATATCTCAGCTTCATTAAAAAGGAATTTTCTATCTACCGTTAAAGAAAATGCATTAAACAGAAATAGTAACACATACCTGCGAAGACTGAAGAACGGCGTTTGTAATCATATAGGCTTCTTCCAGCTTACTGTCGTCTCTGGGATTGACACAGAACAGTAAATGAGTGATACCGAGAAGAGGAAATAATAGAGCCGTGGCTTTCATTGCTCGTCTGGAAGAAAACGATTCAACGTTTCAAATTTCTCTACATTTAATATTAGTCTGTAAATGCCAGATATCAAATTTACGAAGTATGCAACTTAAAAAACAGCTTAAAGTTTTAATACAACCAAAATATATGACATCTATTCCTCAGAGTGAGTAAAAATTGGGCGACCACTAAATATCGATAGCTCGTTATGCGCTCGAATTTTAGTGAATAGCCTATCTGCAAGGGAGATTTAAGATTTACTCCATTTTTAACGTGAATACCAGAAAATTACCGTAGAAAGCTTTCCACGAAGACATCTCTCCCATTAGCCAGACACTCTTGCGTAATGCCGTAATCAATCAGCCAACTAGTCTGTAAAGCCCAATTAAGTAAATCACTAGAAATACCTTTCTACTTTACGATTAACTGGAGGAAAGTAAATTTTTAGTATCGTTAGCAAGGAATTACTCACGAAAGATGAGGGCTTACAAGCATTATGAAATCATCTTGAAGATTGTCGTTTTGAGTCTTATTTCATATTTTAAAGGGGAAAATGTGCATATGATATATAAACTAATAATTAAGGAATAAAATTTCCTCTGAAGCACACAGATATGATCGTTTTTTGATATTTATTAAATAAAGAATAACAGCTTATTATACAATTGATGTAAATGAACCATCATTGGCTTGCTGTTTCTTCATCTTAGTAACAGATATTTTCTTTCCAAAAACAATGACATCATCCTTAAAGTTTCCGATTTATTAATGTTTAATAGCAATTCAACAACCTTCATTCCAGGAGAAATAAAATTATTCATAGTGCTGCAACCAAGACATTAAAAAAATTCAGTATATGGCAGATATTCAGTCTAGGATCAGTATATGACAGATATGATAACAGTCCGACAGAGATAGTAGACTGCTACAAACGTAATGTTATGACTAAAGAACTCTCAGAGTAATATGCATCTGCTAGAATCCAAAATTCGTCTGTATGGGTGTCCTGTAAAAATATCGTCTATATAAACTTAAACTTATGCAAAGATTAAACAAACAGTAATTCGGCAAAGTATTGCAGTTCGCAGCATGGCTTATAATCATAATTAGCACCTCACGTATAACAAACAAACAAACAAAAAGCATTTATTAATTTACTTTTGAATTTAAGTATCAGTCGATACTCTGTATTGGGCTCTGTTGTGTGCTACCAGACGCTACCAGATGAAATGATGGGAAATGATTGTAGCTATACAGTTCCTTAAGATTATACAAAAACGTTGGGTTTAGCTCGCGAACTGCAGACGCTTACCTCTTTACTGGACATTCTCCTACTCAATAGTCGAGACAAACTCGCCTAACCTATGGTGTCATCCTTTCTCGTCAACAGTCAACAGCAGTATGGCTTAGAAGGAGGTTCCTGTAAATCCCGTGTTAGAATGTATAGGATTCCACACAGTGGTAAAAATTTTCGAAAATGGCGAAGTAAATAAATAGAATCTGACTGATATGATTACAGCCCATCACTAACAGATCTCATAAAAATTTTTGGGAACGATATAATGGCAATACAAAGCTTCTTCTTGTATTCATAAAAGCTAACTCAGTTCTTTCTCAAGTACTTAATATCATGCTAGGTCATCTAGAATGAATAAAAAACAGTAAAATAAGAAGGTTTACTTCAATTTCACAAGTAATTAATCTCTTAGTAAAATATTTATATATATTAAAAAAAAAAAAATTCTTCAAGCACTGTATTTTTGTGAACTCTGGCTTCGTGCATCACATAGCAAATTTCAGGTTTAAAAATGTATAGAGATCTTCAAGATTTTACCTTCAGTACGATAACTCGGCATTTAAATTTTCCTCTACCAGCTCTGCATTCTACCTATTATACATTATGAGTATTTAGTTTCAATGTTTGGAAGGAATTGCTAAAAGGAACAGTATTTCCCAGACTTTTGATTCACTCTATTGTAGTTCTAGATTTAATTAAGCTGCTACTTGTTAAGTATAATTAGTATGATATAAGTAGGTAGTTAATAGAAATGCAATTCTTTCTCAGTCTTTTAATAAGAACTAAACATCGTGCAAATTACCTTTTCCTTATTCACACTGTTGCGAAATGCTCAGCTGCGGTGAGATAGCTTCTTTGCAAAGCGGTGTTAGGGTTGCCAGAAAGTTGTACTGAAATGCAGGGTTGCCACATTTGGTGCAAAATCATTTGGTGATATTTTGCGACAAAATTGGAGATATGGCATAGAAGGAGCGAGAACATTCTAAAACGCATTCTTAGCTATTTTCCCGAGAATCTTCTCGAAGGTAGGTTAAAGCTACATATACCTGCCTGTACGCGTAGTAGTAGTACAGTACTTGAATTACAGTAGTAATGTAATAGTGATTTGAGCTCAGAGATTAGCTTGAGAGCGAGCGGGAGCTGAACTTTAGTGCTTTGCCGTGAAGCTGTTCTCACCGTAATAGCTTGATAATCTGAAGGCTGTGTTGCTGAATGTTTCAGCGTGTTTATCGTAGTTTTTCGACGACAGTAAACATATTTTTGGAACTGTCTTGAATAGTGCTAGCGAATAAATTGTGTTTTGATTGTTCATCAATGTGTTGTCATGAATTACTTTCAATGCACGAATCCGTAGAACGCAACAATACTACAGGTGATTTTTAAAAACAATGATATGTTCTTATGTTAAATGTTTAGCATTTAAAGAGAAGAATACTATTTTTTTATTTTTTGCCTTTTAACTAGACAATATTTTTAATAAGTAAAGGAAATTGCTTTAACAAATAAAATAGCAATTTACAACGTTATATTTATATAAATTTCAATGCAAAAATAAAGATCAGTTGCTTCTCAGTGAAAATACGTAATTTCCTTTCAAAAGTAATAAAAAAAGAAGAGCAATTTTGCTTTAAATAGTTTAACAGTGCAATATGAAATACATCTTAATTTAAATTAATCAGTAAAAATAAATATCAACGAAATAACTTGAAAGATTTCTCTTTCGAAATGTTTCATGAGCGCCTCAGAGATGGTTAGATTTTAAAACTGTTTGAAAACAAGAATCTTCTATAGATGTAAAGCACCGCTTACCTTACTTGAACAATTTCAAATGTAGAACTGGTTTTCATTTTTGTGACAAGAATGCGCACAATGTTCACCAAGAATATCAAATTAATCTGTTGGGAAGTGAAAATCATAAATATTAAAAAACATCCAGTGTACATACTGAATAATGCAATATCATAACAACTGTAATTCAATTTTCGTTAATATACTATATGTCAGTTTACAGAAAAGTACGGTAATCCCCGAAATATATATAATTCGCAGTTATGAGGCCATAGAGCAGTCTCAAATAGATTCAAAACGCAAAGCCTTATGCACTCGTAACAAACTTAAAAAAGCCGCAACTACTCTTTAGAAGAAAAGTTGAAAGTTACTGATATGAGTAGTTATAAATGATCCTCATGAGGACATTCTAAAAACAACAAAAAAGAAATGTAAGTTTTTAATATGACAAATCACATAAAAATAATAAAGAATTAAGAAGATATGTCTAAGTTAGCAATTTTAATAATTTTTCAGAAGCTCCCGTTATTTACTCGCTCAAACTTTCAAACTGGAGATTCATATTTTTTCAAATAAAAAGGAAATATTCCTCAAAATGGCGAGAACAAATTATACATTAAAAATATTATTACACAAACGAGGAGACTTTGAGATAGATTAAAAGTTTATAATAAAAAAAGCCTTAAAAATGTAATTTTTTTTAAAAGGAAGACGCATATAAAATGAATTTTTTTGAGAACACGATGATTTAAAAAATGACGAGAACAAATTCTGTATTTAAAAACCATTAATACATGAACGAGGACTTATCATAAAAGAGATTTAAAAATGGATGAAATTAAAAAAATTTATTTATAAATTTTTTGATAAAATCATTTAAGTACTTAAAATAATAAAGATGAAATATGGAAAAAAAGAAAAATAAGCAACCTTAACGAGCCTGTTGAATGATAAAAACTCACTATTAAGCACACACTATCTCTTTGTAAGCGAAATATTATTTTTAATCTGCCAATAAGTACTTTATCTTTTAATAAACAACTTCTTTGCTCTTTGTACTTAAATGTATCCATGTACTTAAAATACCGAGATTAGTTAAATATATAAAGCATAGATAGAAAAAATATATAAAAATCGAAAATTAAAAGTAATTAAGATTTTTGAACAAATTTTAGCCAAATACTTCAAAACCATTTTTTAATATAATATTTACGATTTCTTCTGACGTATCCGTTTTTATTAGGATGCAATAATTCTCTATTTTATCAATATTCTTAATTATGAAACGTTTTTAAAGAGTTTAATATTTGAAAACTTCATTCCAATCTGGAATCTTTTGAAACATTCTACAGTAATTTTCGATAATTTTTTATATCTAGGAACTAATGTCATATTTCATTTATCCGAGTTCTCTTTAACGAAACTACTGTTTAATGTTTGAGATTCTGAAATGTTTTTACCAACCCATTTAAAAAATTTAATTATAAACTTTTCAGATAACATTTGATATCTATAAATGATATCACAATGAATTAAGTGCTCCTTCTCAAAGGTAAATCTTTCTGATAGTCTTTGATAGGCACAAATATCATGCCAATCTGCTCTGCCTTTATATTCTAAGATAATAAGGCTCTGATAATATCTGACCCTTTGAAATAATTGTCCAATTCACACCAGTTTCAAAATTTCTAGCCAAACATTCAGATAATTTATCTATCCTCGAAACTTATGATAATTTGATATTCATTTATATAGTATAATGTTTTCCAATTCGTAATCATAATATTTATTTATTTTTTCCTATGAAATTAAAATTTTATCCTAAGTATTTATTTTTTAGCCGCTGTAAAAATGAGTTTACCACGACCACATTTTAAGATAATAACTTCTTTTTTCATTATCTACTGGACGTATTTCAAAGATATCATTTTATATTTTACTGCACTTCAATCATTCAATTTAAGAGTTTCAGAGTAGGATCCCAAGATGTTGAATTCTTTCATTACTTATTAAAATGATATAATTTTAAGATTGGCCTAATGCTGTTTCGTGAATTCTATTTCTAAAATAAAGCGTTTATCATCTGTCGGTGATAATGATTATTATTTTAAATATTAAATTCTTTCTTTAAAAATTTATGTATATTTTTAACTTCATCCACTGAAAACATTTTTTTTTTGTATAATTTGTCCTTGTACGGGTATTAATGTTTTTTTAACACATAATTTGTTCTCGTCCTTTTCTTTTTAAATCATCGTATTCTCAAAACAATCCTTTTATATGTGGCCTCATTTTTAAAAATAATTTAAGGACATTTTTAAGGCTTTTCTCATTAGAAAATTTGAATCTCCTTCAAAGTGTCGTCGTTCGGGTATTAATTGATTTTAATGTAGTACTATAATATAATTTAATAATATAATTTTCTTCGGATATTTTATTTTTTTAGAAAAAATTTGAATATCCAGTTTAAAGGTTTGAGCTGTAAAGAATAGGACTTCTGAAAATTATTAAAATCGCTAATTTTGACATATCTTTTTAATCTGCTTTATTTGTTTCATACGCTTTCTTACTATAAAAAGTTACATTTTCTTTTTTGTTTATATTTTAAGTTGTTACTGTTACATATCATGATATATTTCAAAGTATCCTCGGGCGAATCATTTTTAAATACCAATGTATGAAAAGGAGAAAATATATATCAGCAACAACTCGAGATTTAAATTGACCTGTTTCGACTACGGAGGTAGAAAATTATATTTTTACCTCTACGATTTCGATGCTGAGTACGGAAAAGATCGCATTCTTGAAAGCATACAATATTCATTAATGCTAAAGGCCGCAATTATTACCAAAGAACGTCTGGGGCCTACTTCAGAGATGGAGAAATTATTCTCTGTTGGCAGAAGTGCATACCGTTGACTTTTCTGATTGTCAGCAGAAGCCGAGACCTTTATATAAAGATTAACCACAGAACACAACATCGAGCGGTTGGAGATCGCTAGCAGCCATAGCTATACCAATGTATCTAGTTACAGGATCATCTACGATGAAAAAAGCGTGTTACCGCGCAATCTACTCTTTATCTATTTGTGATATACTACTAACACCAACGTCAAGATGACATCTGAAACGATCTCGACTACCCCCAGATTTCAACATCAAGAACATGAGAAGTTACCAGAGCGCAGCATTTCTGTTTACAACTGTTCACATCCACTGTCAACTGTCCCTTTACACAGCCAGTTCAGATGACATGTTTTTATTTGAAAATTATCCAAAAGAATATCCACACAGAAGCAAAGTGAAATAATACAATTCGTATATACGTATAATAAATATTGAAACTTCTTAGGAAGTTATATTTAAGCAATTTACAAATTCTATTTGTATAAAATTTGAGTTATGAAAGGTTTATGGAACGCATTACGTACGGAATTCGGGCTTTAGTGTACTTGGTACACTACTCCGCAAAAAGATATAATAGAGAATTATAAATGGATTATATCACTGCCTTGAGTAGAAAACAGAAATTATTTTTTTTATGGAGCATTTATTGCAAAAATTAAATTACCATACTGTTTTTCAACATTATCTCTGTATAGTTCTATATCCCGTGATATCTACGCATTTAATATAGTATCGTCGGAATTAACTGATATTTTCTGATGGCTGCGCAGCCACGCACACCCGGTGGATACTGTTCGTCTTCCTAGAATTTTGTGCACCTAACTCTCAGGACCAGAGATGATAGATACTCTGTAGAAAAGTTGGATAATCAGCATCATAACGTCCGAAAAGCTATCAGCAAGCATCGACACGTTTTTATTTCATTTCAGGTGTCAAATCTTTGCCTGGTCATCTTTCAAACACTTTTCGGAACTACAGCTCACAATTGTTAAAGTGACAGATTGATCGAATCTCACCAGTAGTGATACCACCCAGTTGATGACAATGCTCTTGCTTTTTTTACATTCTGGAGAATCTGCAACATTACCTTCTAGGATTGCTGAACCCTGCAGAGAAGACGTTTTAGAGCGAAGAACATCGATCTTCATCCTGTCAATAAATTGTTGCATACGACTTGCAAAACCTGTCAACGCACGTAAATTATCAAATGACAATGAATCTGTATAGGTGTCGCTCCTACGCTTAAGAAGAATCTTACAATACTTCATCGCAACTTGCTTCTCCCTTGTTCCACACGTTCCTATGCATGCTGCAACCAAGGACAGCAGCGCCACAGCCGGTGTAACAGGAGGGGTATCACCGACATTTACAGACGCACAGAGCAACAAAACTTTTAGAATTTATGGGAGGCACTACGCAGCAGAATTTTTAGAATTTATGGGAGGCACTGCGCAGCAGAATTTAGCGCCAGAAAAGCTTTTAGAATTGAGAGAGGTGCAGGGCAGAAGAATGTAGGACCCACAGGAAATGCAACGGGCGGAAAAGCATTTGTCATCGACATTTGCTGCAAGCGTGCTAACATCACCTATAAATAGCTTGAAGCCATTATTCTGCACACTCCGTTTGCCAATGATATCCATTGTACATGCATTTTATAATACAAATTTTCCGTTTTTAACTGGAATCTGGTTGTAGTACAACTAAATGGGAGATATTTGTGGGTAGAGATATTAATAGCACCTACAGTATAGTATATAAAATATTAACTTCCTCAAATTTAAACACTTCTTTAAGAAATATCAGATACTTTATTAAGTAATTTCATGTGATTGTTTCTGTTATTTGTTATAATACTGCTAAAACGAGGAATCATGATCAAGTTCAAGTTAGATGATCTAAAGACAATTTTATTTTCTAATCATATGGTTACTATAAATATGAATACCACTAAGTTATTGTCCATTAAGAGAATCTTTTTCAATTTCAAATGAAAAAAACTTTAACTTAATGCAGCTTAACTTCATTTAACGAATTTAAGATTGTTTTAGATAACTTTAAAATTTCTGTAACAAGACAGTCACCATTTTATTCCTGTTGACATTATCTTACGTTACTTCCGTCCACATATCTAAACTAAATTATAGTATTCTGTTATGTTCTGAGCTTTAAATTTGTTAAAAAATGTGCATAACCTGATTCCATCAAAATTACAAAATACATTCTTGTTGCAACTGTTTCTCCTGGATAACAAATTTAAGGTTGTTTTAGATAACTTTAGAATTTCTGCAACAAGACAATCACCATTTTATTCCTGTCGACATTATTTATATCTCACGTTACTTACGTCCATATATCTAAACTAAATTATAGCATTCTGTTATGTTCTGAACTTTAAATTTGTTAAAAACCGTGCATAACCTAATTCCATCAAAATTACAAAAAACATTCTTGTTGCAACCGTTTCTCCTGGATAAAGATCACTGAAAACAGCCAGCACTTCTGAGAATTTAAATACATACTGTTACTGAGCATCATATTTTTATGATAAGTGCTTCCACAGAAGACCAAAATCAGCTGGAATTATGAGTGGTGTTTTTAAAAAGACAGGTTCCCCGACGTAGCAACAGCAAGCTTTTACAATGATTATTGACTAAATTTCACATTATTTCTAGAATTTATTTAAAGATACAAGAACATATGAACTTACTCCTAGTGCTCCTATCATAGGGCCGGTAATGATCCATACATAAGGAGATTTTCCATAGCCTTCCCAGCAGTCTGTGGTTAGCTTAGAAGACATAGTACAGCACCAGCTGATGATCAACAACAACGGAATACCTGCAAAAATAGGACACTTAGTACGATATATGTAACTTGACATACACGTTAATAAATTCTCATATTAATATTAAAATACTTGACACTAAGCAATATATTTCAATTACTTCTAGTTAAAGTGAAATACATTTTAAGACGGGGTTTCTTTCTTTTATGATACCCGAAAGTTTGGGCCATTATCTACTGAGTCAAGTACAAACTATAATAAAGCAAGACCACTGGATTGGAAAAGCTAATCAGGATCCCGAATGGAAATTATAAGGAAGAATTTTTATTTGAAGATATCTGTTTTGTGGCTGAAAATGAACAGAAATAAAAGTTCATCTTTAAGATTTGTTAGAAAGACATGCAAACCGGGATCATCTTTGAATATATTCTGACCGTTTTACGTTAACTCAATATCTTTAGCTTTTATTTCACAGATATAGCTTTTGCGACAATATATGTATCTGTTTATACGGAAACCTAATTATAATTTTGAAATTTAAATATTTGTATAAAATATTCATAACATTTTCAAGTATTATATGTGAACAAGCAATCGCAGAATTTGGAAACTTAAACAGTAATCTATGCATATGCGTGTGAATACAGTATATGAGCATTATATAAAACTGCTGAAGAATGCCTTAATACTGTGATAACAATGAATAACGAATGACTCATTTTAAATTATGAAACTGTTACTGCTTTCATCAATATCTGGAAGTATCTCGTAAATAATTTTCTTTTATCAACTCCAAATAAACTGATTTTAAATTAATAAAAGAACTTTATTTGGAGATTTTACCAAATAATGAATATCATTCAGTAACAAGCATGAGTTAAAGTTTGTTTCCGAAATGAAATTTATGCCACACAAAGTATTTGACATAACACACATGCTTTCCACGCTTTGGCCTATCTAGACTGCTGTCTGTCTGCTGCTGCTTTCTTACTACAAAGTTATCAAAAATGTAAGCCTTTTGGAACAGGCACATTTAATGTGCCGACTTGTGTGTAGCCGCAACATGTTACAGAAAATAAAACTGAAGATTTAATCTGCTTTCTCCAATTTACTATTCATTATGGATACACAATTCTACGCCATCCAAATTCCTGCTCCTGGTCATTGCTTCTGAGTTTGAATATTACATATATATGTGGTAATACCTTCTTGAAAAGACATCTAAGAAACTACTTGAAAGGACAGCAAGTTAAATTAAATTTAAAGTATTTACATTTTTAACAAAAAAGTTAGTTATAAACTGAATTCTTCAATACATTTTTATTTACGTCTTTATCGTCGTCGTTCTTTTACTGCATCTTGAGTACAACTCATCTAATTGCCAACTCACAAAACGAAAAATAAAACATTAAAAGAATTATACGATGAGCCATCTGTACTCCATCTGGTATTCAACATTGGCACATATATATACAGGGTATCTCGTAAATGTTGCAACAAACTTCTAGGGAAGGTAGGGCACATCATAAGGATTAAGAATTGCATAGGAACCCACACCCGGAAATGTCTGGGTAAGTGGTAGCAGAGGTAGAAGATGGGAAAAGAAACAAGAGTGATTAATTTGAAACATTTATTGGACGTGAATACAAATGGTGTACGCCAGCTTGAATGTTACGACAGATGCCAAACATGCCTGACACCGACGGACCATTGATTACCGGACATGTTCAAACACACCGGGAGTTCCTTTGATTGTAGCAACTGGGCAGGCCAGTCTTGCCACAAGATCCATTTCAGACACAACAGGATCGTGATATACTACACTTTTGATGGCTTCCCACAACCAGCATTAAGCAGTCGCCAACCAAACCTGCTCAGACATTAACTTTGAAGCGTTGTTGTGCCGCGTGGTGACGCACACCGTGGGGTTTTCTTGAGCCCACAAATGCTGATTGAATACGCCATCCCTATTGAATATGCCTTCATCCGCAAACAACACATAAGCTTGGAAATTAACATCACAGACATTTTCTTGGAGAAACCCCTGTGCACATATTCAGGATGATCATCAGGGAGCACTAATGGAACCTTTGGAGACGAAAAGCGTGGAAGGACTGCGTTCAAGAAACGCTGGACACTGGTAGGAGACATTCTTAATTAAGACCCAATGGCACGTATGCTGGTCCTTGGACTACTCTCCACCGTATCAAACACTTTCTTCCCAACGACCGAGTGAGTCGATCGTCGCCTGCACTCACTTGTGCTGCCACTTCCTAATGACCCGTAGTTGCACAAATTTTGATGCAGACTTGCAAACAAACTGTGTGTTGGTTGATATATGTTGGGGAAGCGTTCTCGATAAATGCGTGCGGCAGCTCGTCCATTACCCTCAGCTGTTCTATGCACTAAGTTATGTCTGCAAGCTCTCTGTTCGTACACCTTTCCATTCTCTTCGTATGGTACCTACCGCTCGAATGACGCAATCCTCATTTTCCACTAGCACTCTCCTGCACAAAACACCATGGCGGCGTACAATAACGTTTCTGCGCGTGGATTCCTATGCAATTCTTAATCCTTACGATGTGCCGTACCTTGAAGAAGTTTGTCGCAACATTTACTGGACACTGTGTATTATACATACATATATATATACGTATATATATATATACACCAAAGTATCGGAAGGTACGGAACTACAGTACGGAACACTGTGGTTCCGCACCTTCCGATACGTACCTCCGATTCCGGTTCAGTACGGAACCACAGTATCTAAGCAACTTTTTAGAGTACGAACTAGGAATTTTCTCTTACCGTTTTTCTAAATTTTGCAGCTCACTGCGCTAAGTTTTTGACCGCATAGGTCTTTTATAGTTTGTTCTCTTTTCTTTAATTACATATATATACACTTCTGGTGCTGCCAATTCCAACCGAAAATACACAAAATTTCAACGATCTGAGGCTACTCGTTTCTGAGGTATGGCGGGATACATATAAGTATTTACGTACAGACATCACGAAAATATCTCTTCTAAATCCATTTTACAAACCTTTTTTTGAAAAAGACTCCTTTGTTCTGTCCTTATGTACAGATGCCACGCAAAAAATCGTCAAATTGCATTCGATAACGCTCAAAATGGATATTTTCGTTGAAATACGATACCCCAAATTTTTCGTGATTACAATACTTCCTTTACTTGGTACCAAGGAAGTAAAAAGAAGAATTTTACCTCTAAATATTTTGTAGCTGGTTTTAACCTCTAAAAATTATTTGTAATTCTTCTAAATATTTCGTAACCAAACAATTTACCGCATCTCAAAATAGTCTTATAGCCGTTTAAGAAGTAAAGTACGCTTATCGATATTGAGAAACATGATTAAAAGTACCATGATAAATTTAAATTTAAAAAGAAATCATTATAAATTAAAGAACATTTTAGGCAGATTTCACTCTGATATGAATGAGCTTCGTTATATGAATGAATATTTTAATACCATTATCATTTTTTCCATAACTGTAATGTACAATGTATTGTTCAAAGATGGTGTTCGAGATGTTTTCAGATTTTATCAAAAGAGAAAAGAAAAAAGAGTTTGAAGAGAAATCTTCAGAGAGCAATTTAGAAGAAATCACTTTAAGAGCTTCAAACTCTACTTTCGTAAGATTCTTCAGATACCGATATCAATTTCAGGTTTTATCTCTCGCTTGGCATCCAATTTGTAGAAAAAGTCTTTTGGGAGCATTATCACTTACGAGTTTCTAGCTCTTTGTATTTTCTTGAACAACACACAGGTGGGAGAAAAGGCAAAGAGGAACATAATACAACTTTGTTCGTAAGAATTTCTTAAACAATATATCACAAGACACATGGGTGAAAAGAAAAACTCTGAAGAATATACTTTGTTTCTCATGTTACAGATAAAAGCTTGAATTTTGAATCACTTTTAATGATTACTTTATTGTATGCTAAATGAATGAAATTGATATGAAAATGATTTATTTGAAATGAAAATGAATTCATTCGGTACTAAATATGCGATATATGACGCTAGAAATGTATATTTTTTAAAATTACAATTATGCATTATAATTTAATTCAATTAAATCTGTTATTTAAAACGAAATGAAGATTTGATATTTTCAGAAACATTTTAAATTACTCATTAAATTCGAAAGGTAAACTAAACATTTTTCATTTTTCCGAATGACGACATTCTGAAAACTGACTCAACGACATTTCCCAGGTCATGCGGATGATATGCCCTTGATAACGTAACGTAGCGTACGGTTCAAATATTTTGGTAAGACTCTACTAAAAACATTTTTAACGTCAAAACTAGGAGGCGCACCAAAAACACTAACATAGCTGCTTCTTTTTAAAATTCTTAGGTATATTTTTTTGGCATCGTAATTTTACTGAAGTCGTATTTTTGTGTAATTCGCCTTGCTTTGCACTACTTTTATCCAATCTCAAAGAAATGTTATTTTGCTAAAATATTCCAAAGAAACGCGTAGTGTACTTAAAGTGCGGATATTTTTATTACATATTAATATTCTAATAAAACGAAACATTTAAATTAGTTAAAGTATTAATTTAAAATTTTATTGTGGAAGTACTGTAGACTTGGCTGAGTTTTTAACAGCATAAGAATTGTGCTCGACAAAATTACGTGGTGCGATATTCTTACAGCACACACGTGATGCAGATTGATTAGAATTTGGAAGGCAGATGGCGTTAGGGTTAATATTTACTTTTGGCTTTAATGCTTTCTTTTCAGATGATGAGGAGTAGCGATACTAATGAATGATACAATTTCTACTCATGAATTGCAAGAAACTAAATATTGTATTGTGCATGTACGCTCATAACTGAGCTCAATTAATAGGTTACTCGAAGAAGGTAAGGATGTTTTCGTGGAGAACTTTCCTAGGAAACGAGCTGGTATTTATGTTTGACATGGGAAAACCACGAAAACCAGCCATGCATCCAACCCGTTTGATTCTGTTGCTAGGGCAAAATACTAGCATTCAAAGCTCTTTAACCACTAGGACACT